CATACACTGTATCAACTGGGATTGCCCGTGCCCACGTTTGTGGACCCACTCAAAGAATTTTAATAGATTGGTGAGGCAAAAGTCGTGTTGACTTTTCCATAATATATGGTGTCCACCTACATATCTGATAATTCTGTTCTTTGCTATAGTTTCAACCAATTTACCTGGTATTGAAGTTAGTGTTACTGGCCTGTAATTGCCAGGATTGCCTCTTGATCCTTTTTAAAAAATAAATAGGCATAACATAATCTACCCTCCCGTCATCTGGTACAGAGGCTGATTTAAGCGATAGGTTACATACCACAGTCAGTAGTTCTGCAATTTCATATTTGAGTTCCTTCAGAACTCTTAGGTGAATACAATCTGGTCCTGGTGACTTATTACTTTTTAATTTATGAAGTTGTTCCCAGACGTCCTCTATTGACACCTCAATCTGGGACAGCACCTCAGGTACTTCACCCAAAAAGAATGGCTGTGGGAAACTCCCTCACATCTTCTGTGGTGAAGACTGATGCAGAGAAGCTAAATGAATTCTTTGCATGAGCTCTGTGTTCCTTGAGTAACCCTTTAGCACCTTGATTGTCCAGTGGCCCCATGGATTGTTTGGCTCAATTCCTGCTACTGATGTATTTAATTTTTTTTCTGTTTGCTTTTCTGTCTTCTGATAAGAAAAGGAGTACTTGTGGCACCTTAGAGACTAACCAATTTATTTGAGCATGAGCTTTCGTGAGCTACAGCTCACTTCATCAGATGCATACCGTGGAAACTGCAGCAGACTTTATATATACACAGAGAATATGAAACAATACCTCCTCCCACCCCACTGTCCTGCTGGTAATAGCTTATCTAAAGTGATCATCAGGTGGGCCATTTCCAGCACAAATCCAGGTTTTCTCACCCTCCACCCCCCCACACAAATTCACTCTCCTGCTGGTGCTAGCCCATCCAAAGTGACAACTCTTTACATAATCAAGTCGGGCTATTTCCTGCACAAATCCAGGTTTTCTCACATTCCCCCCACCCCCATACACACACAAACTCACTCTCCTGCTGGTAATAGCTCATCTAAACTGACCACTCTCCAAGTTTAAATCCAAGTTAAACCAGAACATCTGGGGGGGGGGGTAGGAAAAAACAAGAGGAAACAGGCTACCTTGCATAATGACTTAGCCACTCCCAGTCTCTATTTAAGCCTAAATTAATAGTATCCAATTTGCAAATGAATTCCAATTCAGCAGTTTCTCGCTGGAGTCTGGATTTGAAGTTTTTTTGTTTTAAGATAGCGACCTTCATGTCTGTGATTGCGTGACCAGAGAGACTGAAGTGTTCTCCGACTGGTTTATGAATGTTATAATTCTTGACATCTGATTTGTGTCCATTTATTCTTTTACGTAGAGACTGTCCAGTTTGACCAATGTACATGGCAGAGGGGCATTGCTGGCACATGATGGCATATATCACATTGGTGGATGCGCAGGTGAACGAGCCTCTGATAGTGTGGCTGATGTTATTAGGCCCTGTGATGATGTCCCCTGAATAGATATGTGGGCAAAATTGGCAACGGGCTTTGTGGCAAAGGATAAGTTCCTGGGTTAGTGGTTCTGTTGTGTGGTATGTGGTTGTTGGTGAGTATTTGCTTCAGGTTGCGGGGCTGTCTGTAGGCAAGGACTGGCCTGTCTCCCAAGACTTGTGAGAGTGTAGGGTCATCCTTTAGGATAGGTTGTAGATCCTTAATAATGCGTTGGAGGGGTTTTAGTTGGGGGCTGAAGGTGACCGCTAGTGGCGTTCTGTTATTTTCTTTGTTAGGCCTGTCCTGTAGTAGGTAACTTCTGGGAACTCTTCTGGCTCTATCAATCTGTTTCTTTACTTCTGCAGGTGGGTATTGTAGTTGTAAGAAAGCTTGACAGAGATCTTGATAGTTGTTCTTGAAGTTCTTTTTTGGCCTGCCTAATTATACTTTTATACTTGACTTGCTAGAGTTTATGCTCCTTTCACTTTTCCTCACTAGGGTTTGACTTCCAGTTTTCAAATGATGTATTTTTGCCTCTAACTGCCTCTTTTACTCTGCTGTTTAACTATGGTGGGTTGTTTTGTTTTTTTTTTTGTTTTTTTTTGGTCTTCTGTTTTTTTCCTTCAAGGTATAAATTTAGTCTGAGCCTCTATTATGGTGTTTTTAAATAGTTTCTATGTAGCTTGCATGCATTTCTCTCTTGTGCCTATTCTTTTTAATTTCCATTTAACTAGCTTCTTCATTCTGTGTGGTTCCCCTTTTTGAAGATAAATACTACTGTGGTGGATTTCTTTGGTGTTTTCCCCACTACAACTATGTTAAATTTAATTACATTATGGTCTCTATTACCTGGTGGTTCAGCTATATTCACCTCACCTATCTTGTACTCCACTTAGGACTAAATCAAGAATTACCACTCCCCTTGGGAGTTCCAGGTCTAGCTGCTCTACGAAGCAGTCATTAATGGTGTCTAGAAATTTATCTCTGCATAATATCCTGAGGCAATATGTACTGAGCCAACAGAGGGATAGCTGAAATCCCTCATTCTTGGGTTTTCTGTCTTCGTAGCGTCTCTAAACTTTGAGCATTTTACAATCATTGTCACCATACTGGTCAGACGGTGAGTAGTACATTCCTACTGTTATATTCTTAGTATTCAAGCATGGAATTTCTATCCATAGAGATTCTATGGTACAGTTTGATTTAATAAAGATTTTTCCTATATTTGACTGTATGCTTTCTTTCGCATATAGTGCTACTCCCTCACTAGCACGACTGCTCTGTCATTCCTATATATTTTGTACCCCAGAATTACCATGTCCCATTGATTATCATCATTCCACCAGGTTTCTGTGATGCCTATTATATCATCATTATCTAATGCCAGGCATTCAAGCTCACCTATTTTAGTATTTAGATGGCAGACAGAGCTAAAATGTACAGAACCCAGTAAACTCCTTGCAGATTAAACCATTTTGTGATCAAGTTGAACCAAGTCCCTTGATTAAAAGGCATGTGTGCTCTCTTCCTAATAGTTATATTTGGTATAGTCAAGGCTGTTTTCAAGAATCAGGGCTCTAAACATTGTTCTCTGGGCCATGAATAGGATGAAGAGATGCAGCTGTTCTAAGTTCCATGGAGCTAGGCTGAGGGAACTGGGGTTGTTTAGTCTGCAGAAGAGAAGAGTGAGGGGGGGGATTTGATAGCAGCCTTCAACTACCTGAAGGGGGGTTCCAAAGAGGATGGAGCTGGGCTGTTCCCAGTGGTGGCAGATGACAGAACAAGGAGCAATGGTCTCAAGTTGCAGTGGGGGATGCAGTAGCATAGCTGGGGGGGGACGGGGCAGCGGCCACTCTCCCACTGAGAACAAGTGACACCTTTTTAATTCTTCAGCAGCATTTCGTGCCGCCGAAGACCCGGCGCAAGTGAAGGACCCGCCGCCGAAGTGCTGCCGAAGACCTGGAGCGCCGCTGGCTGAGTACAAGTGGGTGGCACCTTTTTTTATGTCTGCTCCCCCTGTTCGCTCCACCTGGCTATGCCACTGGGGGATGTCTAGGCTGGATAGTAGGAAACGCTATTTCACTAGGAGGGTGGTAAAGCATTGGGAATGGGTTACCTAGGGAGGTGGTGGAATCTCCATCCTTAGAGGTTTTTAAGGCCCAGCTTGACAGAGCCCTGGCTGGGATGGTTTAGTTGGGGTTGGTCCTGCTTTGAGCAGGGGATTGGACTAGATGACCTTCTGAGGTCCCTTCCAACCCTAACAGTCTAGGATTCTACTCAACTGGTGCCTATCTCGTCCTCATTTCTCAAGAGTACATACCTTGGCAGAAAAAAAAGTGTATTTTTGGTTCAAATCTAAAATAGGTATCTATCCAAGAGTGATTTGTGTTTTAGTTTTAATCAACACCTACTGCTATAGATCATATGGCCTTCATGTTTCCTTGGCCCTTTCAGGGACTTCATGGGAACAATTTTTCATGGGTTCACTGAACATTTCATCATAGTAAGAAAAATTATATTCCATTTTCCAGTGGAGGCAGCTCTGATTAGCTAAACTATCCCACACCTGGAAGAGTTTCACAGTTCAGCTAGCACTATCAGTTACCTGCATAGCCAAGTTATCTGCCATCCACGGACAAGGGAGGTGCAGCCAGGAAGAGGGCATTTCTGTCAGTATATCAAAACTCACTGACAAAAAATAAATATCACAGCAGACTCGCAATAGAATAGTCAATTAGCAACAAAGTGCACACCCTCAGAGCTGTCTGAACCTATCCAGTTCCACTGGTATCCTTGAGCAGACCTACAATATAGGTCCCTTGCCCTGATGAAAGAAATCACAGAATACACCTGTGATCTAAGCACAGTCACCATGCAGTCTTTAGACGAGGCTACCACCATTTAGTAGCCACATATTTGTTATGCCTTTACCACCAGGCAAAGGCCAGGGAAAAGTTAAATAAGTTTCCTGGAAGTTGCCCTTGTTCTGAAGCACTGATTTTAAAACCACAGTGGGTTAATAGCAAATACTCAGTGCTCCAATTCTAAATGTGAATTAGTAGAATCCCATTAAACCCCATTTTAGGAAAATAGAGCAATTACATTTATGACCCCAAAGTGGGCATTATTTAACATGGAACAGGAAGGAAAAGTCACGGAGCACAACTGTCATTCATGTTGGAAGATCAGAGCTAACCCCGGAGAGTTAAACCAGTCACTGTGCCTAAGCTTAAGCAGCTGGTTAAATCCATTTGATCTAGTTTTATAAACACATTGTTTTAATAATTCAGACAGTCAGACTTTGCAGATAAGTGGAAACAACATGCTTCCAGCTTCCTTGACTGTGAGGAAAGACTAATGCTACCCCCCACCCGCAGATTACATGAAGTATAACTGCATTAGCAGGAAGCAATTTATTTCAGAGTCTACGTCTTTTCCATAAATGGGCATTATCCAATCAGCTAAAAACTAATGGAAGCTCCAAACTCACCCTCTCTGGAAGAGATCCACATTATGGAATTTGTGAAGTTCCACAGAAAACTCGACCGTTCCCTGTACCTCAGACATGATCTTTTCAGGTCATCACCTAAATGAAAAAAAAAAAACAGGTATTTTAAACATGCTGAACAGTTTGCTTAAAAACAAATTCACTTAAGTTACTACATCTTGCTTCAGCACTTTGGGCTTCATCCATCACCCAGGGAACTCAATGGGAATCTTTATACCAACTTCAATGGACTCTGTTCAGGCTTTTTATTGATAAGAACCCTATCCAAGTTGTGATTGTGAGTCATAAAAAACAAAGACAGCCTGAGGATGCAGCAATAATGCTAAATTAGGCAATATCATAATCATTGAAATGTACATAGTGTCTTTTCAGCCTAGAACCTCGCAGTGCTTTCCAAGCTCTCACAATATTCCTGGGAGGAAAGAGAGATGTTGTTACACCCATTTTAGAGAATGGAAGGTATCCAGACACAGCACACAACAGCTCTCTAAATGGAGAACTGACTAAAAATTCAGTCTCCAGCCAAAACACCACAGTGGTACAGAGTTCGCTGGCTCCCATCCCCTGTGCCCTCTCCCACCAAGGCACTTATCAAAGACAAGGAAGGGAGGTTTCACAGGGAACAGAACTAACTCCAGAAATAATGAATGGCAGGGATTACCACATAAGCTCTTTGGGGCAGGAAAATGAGTCTGTATCACAGATGTCACAAAAAAGATTGTGACGGGATCCCCAGGGTGCAGCCTGGGACTGTGGGACCGCTGTGCCCCCTTAGCTCTCTTCACCCTGGGCTGTCTCTCACAATGCCTTGCTAGCGACCGCAGCAAACCCCTCCAGGCGCTGCGATCACTCAGCACAACAGCATGTGGAGCCCTACATCCAGCTAGATTGCATGAATGCTCCCAGAGCCGCTCAGGAATCACCCAGAGAAAGGCACCAGCCAAATCCCCCCAGCACCCAGCACTGTACTTCAGGAATATATCGTCTTGCACTGCTCAAGCCGAGCAGTGCAGATTTATTAATTGGTTCACCACTTCATCAATGGAAAGCGGGCCTACACCAGCCTTTGCAAACCTGAGCAGATAACCAAACACTTCAGGCAAACTCACTGGTAAAGATAAACAGTTAAACAAATGTATTGACTACAAAGGTTTAAATTTAAGTGATATTAAGTGTTAGGCAAAAAATCAGTGCATACCCAAAAGAAAAGAAAATATAAGCACGCAGTCTAAACTCTCAACCCTATTAGACTGGGCAACCTCTAGATTAAGCAGTTTTTCTCACCCCACTGAATATTGCAGTCCTTAATATACAAGTTTGTTCCTTAAACCTGGGCCAATCTCCTCTGTTGGAGTCTTGTCTTCTTCTCGGTGTCTTAGTTGCTTGCAGCCTAGGTGGGGGCAGGGTAAGGGCCCAGTATGTTTCCACTCTGTCTGTTTTATACCCTCAGTCCATGTGCTTGGAAAACACAAGTCCAGGCATGTCTGGGTGCATTGCTGAGTCTCCAGGCAAGGTTGGACAATTCCCCTGGAGTGGCGTCATGTAGGTGAGTCATTGCATTATAGCTCCCTTGCTGGGCAATGGTTGTTGATGGGCTGATTGAAACCCTGCCTGGGTCTTGGTTACTTTCCTTGCTGTTGCCTCTGGGGAGCTATTATCTGGCTGATTCCCCATCTTACAGCTTGTTTTAGTGACAACCATACAACACAATTCTCAACTTCATATACATTTATGATATACATATATGGACAGAAAAATTACTTTCAGGAGATCATAACCTTTCCCCTGATACCTTATACAAGGCATGCTTTATATGTAGGATCACGATGATTTAAAAATGAGGAATATGGGGGTTCCAGGATGCTCCCCCAAGGTATAGAATGACACAAAGATGGCCAACAGATTGGTTTACTTCACACATACACGGTGCTCTTCTATCTAAGACCACTGTGTAAGTGCAGAGGAGGATGGCTCATGAGCATCAGTCTGAGCATAGATAGCTGTCTACTGTACATAACAGGGGAGATGGAAAAGTGTGCATGTCATTCTGGTGCCACAGAGTAGTAGCTGGTGCATCGGCAGGCTTTCCATTTAGCACCCAAAGGGGACAGGGCTGCTGGAACAATTTGTATAGTGGGGGTTGCTGAGAGCCAGTGAACCAAACTGTAAACCCTGTATATGATGGAAACCACTTCAAGCCAGGGGGAACAGCAGCACCCCAAACCCCTAGTTCCAGCACCTATGAGATGGGCTCGTTTGGAATTCTGTCCAGCTTCTGCAATAGGGGAGACTCTCTGTCTTCAGACTCTTATGTTCATTTGTATCGTGCCCAAAGGTGTGCTAAGTGCCTCCCACCCACTCCAATACATCCATGCAAGGCAGGTCAAGATTCTGATGTGATATATTTTTGAATCAGGAGAAAGTATTATACTGTAGCTATTGGATAAGTTTGTTTGCCAACTCCTGGCTGTACGTTTTCCAGGTGACTGGCTTTTTATTTCACTGATGATTTAAACACTATTTTTGCTTCTCTTAATGCCTGCCCCTCTCAAGCGCTCTCATTTTCCAAAATGCACTCTGAGATTTTTTCCTCCACTGGAAAATATGCACTGCAGACATTGATTCCAGACTGACAAGAGCTGCAGCTATGCCATTTATATTATATATAAATAAAATAATTGCCAAACTGCATTTTTTAATATATACCCCCAAAGTAAGGAAATTAATGCATTAGTCAATTCAGTGTTATGTCATAATGATTTCCAGTAAAATTCAGAAGCAGTGAAGGTAAACTCAGTGTTACTCTCTGGCAGAGCTAATGTAATTTGTACCTTACCTAGTTTTCTAAAACTGTATCAAGAATGGCCCCCACCCTCATTTTACTCTTGATAAAGCCCTTGGCAGGACTGACATAAAAGTTAAGTTTGTCAAAGGTACTTCCATGGTGTGCACCAATAGCGCAAATGATCGACCCAGAGAAGAGCTGAAGTCACACAGCTTGAAGAAAAAGAATAAATATTCAAAAGTGACCAATGATTTTGGGTGCTACACCTGACTTATCCTTACAGAGACCCAGTTTTCAAAGATGATGAACACCAGTCCTTTGAAAATAAGGTGCTTAAAGTTGTGCACTCAAAAAATAGAGGCACCCATACTCATTAATCACTCGGGACAATTTAGGCCAGAAGTATCACAGGGTAGTTAGTTAAACGAGCATTAACCAAAAGTAGAGTAGCTACCTTGCCAATTGTGCTGTTACCGAGGGCCGACGTATGACATCAGTATTTGCAGTACTGTAGGGAATATTGCCAATATTGAAGATATGTCACATACTTATTAAGACTACTGGCAAGTGTTTCGGGGCGATCACTGTGAATGCCCGGGGTACCTCTCTATTGGACAGCACCTCATGTGTTTTTAAGCTAGGCCCTACATGCCACACTAACATTTCAGAACAAGAATAAAGCAGGCACTAGGCAATCCAGCTGGTGACATGACATGACATGACATGGGGGACAGGCCTGTCACTGGCAGCCCTCCCTCATTAGCGGGGCTGCCATTGGTCAGTCCAAGCACCTGTGAGTTTGGATTGGCTGGTGGCGTATTGCCCATGAAGACAATACTGGACAGAAGTAGGCCTCTCTCTCCTACTCCCCTAGAGGTTGTGGGTATCCCACACTCACTCCCTGAGGGTATGTCTGCACTGCAGGATTAATTATACTTGAGTTACTCCTCTCAAGTTAGCCTCGCTTTAGTGAGAGAGGCCACACCGAAATAACACTACAGCTGCTGTATGTACACTGACATTTCACTCACTCATGTGTGGTGCTAAGACTTCTGGGGCCACATCCCATGTTTCTCTGTGCTGCAGTTAATTGAGATGCTCTGTGAATTCATTCCTACTGAACTGCAGGAGAACTTCTGTCCTTTCTGGGCACACAAGGGAATTGTGGGAAGGCATTGGAGCATTCAGGTGGGAAGCAGTCTGCATTCAGACTACAGCATGGCTGTGGTAGCAGCTGGCACATTGTACTCACTTGAGTTTTAGCCTATACAACTCCCCGCCCCTTGGGTCTGCAAACTCAAGTTAAAAGCACCATGGCACCAACGTTAAGGGTTTGTGTGTGTGGACAAGACTCAAATTTGGGGCATCGCTCAAATTATCAATTGAATTCACTCTTCAGTGAAGACACAGCTGTAGAGATTAACAGCTATGGAGAATAAGCTGGATCAGTTACATTTCAGTGTCAATGGTTCATTGGTCTGAGCAAGTTCCACTTGACATTTCAGGCAACTGCACTGGTTGTGTTGTACTGGCTAAACTACACGACACAGGGGCCCAACTCGTCATGGTTCTATAAATTTATTATTTATTTAATTACAGGCTCACAAATCTGGACAATTTGTCCTGCTTGTAAGAGTTAGATTCCCCTTCGTGCTATTAAAATTGAGTGGATGAGGATAGGAGTGGGGTCTCCCATGCTGGAAATCTGGCCATCATTTGCAGAAAATGTCATGTCCTAATCTGTATTATGAATGAATATGCATGATCTCATTTGCATTTTAAAAGGAACACTTGCTGTTATTTTCTTTTGTGGCTGCTGGACCAGGTTGCCTTTGAGGACTGGTGGTGGTTGTTTAAATTATGATAAAGTTGCAATCATTTGGCCAAAATATGATGCTTGTGTTCATGCTCAGCAGCCCTTGCCCTGTGCAATGTTTAGTAGCTGGGTGTTTGGGATAGCTATTAAGTCACACTACTTATTTTGGTAGTACAAGCGCCTGATTGAGGTATATGCATTGATAAAATGGTTATTTGGTACATACACATATAAACACAGAGATAAACTAAAGAAATCAAACCTGCAACAACCATGATTGAGAACAGTTGGTTGGATGTTGATTTCAGTGGAAGTATATTGAGTGTCAGTGAGGACAGAATTTGGCCCAGTATCACTACTGTATTATAGAGAGTAATAGTCCTAAGGGCTGGATGTCACAGGCTTCACAGGACTGCAGACTTCACAAGAACCGTATTAGCTTGATGACACTAATCACATCAGTGAAGGCTGCAGGAT